GAGGAATTAAGTTTTATCTAAACTATTTATAAACATAAAACGTGCAGGATGGATTAAAAATCACTTCTTAATTTTTGGTTTTTATCACTTCTTGTGTGTTATGGTAAATGGTATGTACCAAGCATAAGTATATTTCCAAAACGTGAAAACACGATGAAAAAGCCATATGCCATTTAAGCCCATCGCTTATCTGTTGGTCACTTACTGTAAGTTTGTTGCTAATTAAGTCAAAAAGTTGTCGGCTACTTGTGACAATCACTAATTTAGTCGGTAATACAGGAAGCATAATGCAAACATGGCATGTCTTATTAGTGTGGGTTTTCAAAGTTGTATGAGTGTTTTTCAGTTGTTTGATGTTTGCTGAGTAATACCCAAATCCTATGTGGCTCATCTTGGTGCTTTAATTAATTAGGTAGTTAATTATAAATAGGTATTGATATATACTTGCCTTATATGTGGATTTTGCTCCTTCATCATACTTGATGCTACGAATATATTTTAGAAACATGGAAATCTATTAAATAAAGTGTTCTTGAACTATGTTTAGAGAGTATCTTTGCAAACTAGAGTGTCACCCAAACCTGAATTGAAATAGGATTATCAAATAAAACTTTGATCTTATTGCTGGTTAAGTTTATAGGAATATAAACCACTACTTTTAAATCATATAGAATTGTCCACCCATTTGATATCCTTAGGCTTAAGTAATTTGATAGCTCGTATAGTAAACACATTTTTTGTGTGTTTATCATTGATCTAGAAAAGGAACTAACATTTTCTAAAATTTGATTTTCCAAAAGATAAATTATTTTACAAACAAAACTTATAATTAGAGTTCTTATCACAAATCATTGGAAGTGAAAACCAGAGCTATGTGATTATGTAAACTTAACTCTCAACATGAAAGTACTAATGACCACTTTAATGCTAGTAAATACCTATTGAGGAGAATTGAGAAACGAATTCAAGATCAAATTTCAGAATTATGAAACATGTTTTTTTTTAGTGGTTTAAACATGTTAATGCTAATGTGGAATCAGATTAAGACCAACTTATTTCCTTGATATTATTTCATTGCGACATATACGTAGATGCCTCATCGAATCTCTCCATTATATTTTATGGTCTTTTGTCTATATATTTTCTTATAGCAGACCTTTCATTGTCATGTCTATTAGGCAATCCGAGATACAATGGTCAATTCCTCTCCTCTACTAGTCTGCTTTGCGTTTTTGTAGACTGGGATTGATTTTGTAGTTTTTGGTACTTAGAGGGTATTTTTTTTCTCTCTCTCCTTTATATCACATTTTCATAATTATAGTTTTTGGGTGGTGAAAGGGGTTACTTTACATCTTTTGGAATTTGGAGCCAAAAAAAAAAAAAAAGGTTAGGAGTATGTATATGAATGAAAATAGAATGTGAATGCTGACTTAGTAGTCAATTATGAGGAAAAAGTTGGGTACCTACTTGCATAAATCACAAATATATGAAAGAGTGGAGTTCCATGTGTTCGTTCCCATCTCCTCATTTGCTTCTCTTTCTTAACCACGTATGAATACTACTACTTGATGCTCACCACCATTAACCCATAATTTTCATATATGTCTTTTTATATGATTTAAGCATTTGTTTAATAGTTTCAAGTATCTCCCAATGGAGCTAATGATAATTATGATATGGGCTTCATTAAAACATACTTTATTAGTACTTCCTTTTTATACGAAAAAGCACTCTGACATGCATTTGAGTTGGTTTACATAGATTAGTGTTGTATTTGTAATTAGACAAGTAATCTATTATGTTATATCTACCATTTCTTGGTCGGATTAATGGGCTATTATCATGTTATTGTACCTTCATATCTTTTTTCCAGATTATGTATTTATAGAGTGAGGGGATCGGAGGACAAGTATTTATTATATATATCATAAATGATCGACAAACTTTTTTAAAGACAAATACTCCCTTCGTTTCTATTTATTTGTAGCAACTTCAATATTTATATAAAAAATTGAAAATCGAGAAGGAAAAAAAGGAGTTCTAATTTTCTAAGGAATATATATATATATATATATATATATATATATATATATATATCTATTTTTTTTTTTCTAAATCTTTGAATATTCGAAATATGTGGAGAGAGAGAGAGAGAGTTATGGAAAGACATAGAGAAATGGGCACTTCAAAGTGTTCTTTGTAGTTGCTGCATATTAAGCATGCATTATATGGACTTATCAACAATACTTTTCTTTTGACATGAAAAAGTTTCCATTTTGTTTTTACTGACTAGAAGAGTACTACACCACTCGAGGCTTTTATTTTCATATATATATATATATATATATATATATATATATATATATATATATTAAATTTTGGGTTTTTTAGTAGTCATCATATTTCAAATATTTAGAAGAATGTAAATAGTTATTATAAATCTTAATTTATTTTGCTTTAACGATATTAAAAAAATGAAAATATTACATTTTTATTATGATTTGTTATCGTGAATATGGGAGTTATATGATGTAATTATTAGAATGTCCCACAATGCTTGGGATTAAGATCTTTGGATAATATATATAGGATGTAGCAACCTTTAACTCTTGAGCTAGCTTTTGGGTTAAGTTAGGCCACATTCCTAATATGGTATCAGAGCCTAAGGTTGGCCCAACAAGCAAATTTCTCACAAAAATGGTTTCCCACCTATGTTGCCCAGATAAGTGGCATGTCTTGTTGTATTTCCGAGATATTGGGCTTGTGCTATTCCCGTTGGACCGTTTCCCACCCACATCTCGAGGAAACCTACTAGAATGTCCAACATTGCTTGGATTTAAGATTTTTGGGTAGTATATAAAGGATGTTGCAATCCTTAACTCTTGAGCTAGCTTTTGGGTTAAGTTAGGACACATTCCTATTATGTGATTAACATTTATATGAACTATAAATAAAACAAATATCCTAAAAGACCGCATTATTAAGTTTTTTTTTTTTTTTTGCAAAAGGACCATCATTAGTTTATTTTCCCAAAATACCACAAAAACTTGTATAAAAATATGTGTTCAATCAAAATGAATTCCAAATAAAATTAAAAAGTATATTTGGATTCCCTATTTTAATTTAGAGTTTGTGTTTCCACCATTTAAAAGATTTTGATTTATTTTATTATTGCATTTGTGTTATTATTGGAAAAAACTAGTAATTGTATTTTTGGAACAAAAACTAAAAAAAAATGTTGCAATTTAGAGAATTTCCCAATAAAGAATTGAGGCGAATTGTTTATCTTTAGCAGAAAAAGGTCAATAAATTTATTTATCAATGTTCGTATAAAACAACATTACTTATATATAGCATAAAATGAACCATAGTTCATGGAATCTACTAAAGTAATCCCCATTATAACTAGCTTGACTATAACTATAAGTCTATAAAAACAATGACGACGAGGGTGTTGATCATAACCCTCCAGATTTATGTAAATTGTGGATGAAGAAATGAAAAGTTTGTGTTGGTATAAATAAAATAGAAACCTAATGAGTCATCTAGGATAATGATTATGGATTATATATATGAGATGATTTAATGTAGATCAATATATTTGCTTCTACGTTGATCTTATCTATTAGATTGTCATTTAATTAATATATCTATTTTTTTACTTCATTTTTTGCACTCAATAATCTAATCTATCGTCCATAACCATAATACAGTTTAATTTTGTTTTTTTTTTGGTCCCTTGCATAGTGATATTTGTTGGTGCTTGCAACCATATAAGGGTCAAATGATTCATTAGCAGTCTTGTCAACACAGCCGAATTTAATATATCAAAGTAGAGAGACACAAAAAGCTTAATTAAAAAATCCAAAAAAATGAATCAAATAATTAGTGGTAAAACTTATAGGAAACAATATAATATAAAGCTTGATTAAAGAATTCTATATTAGTAACAAAAGAAGGGCAACTTTATCCTCATCAATAGGAGGAAATAAAGATGATTTGAGCTCTTGGTCAAAGGTAGAAAAAAAAAAGAACTTGGCAAAAAACAATTACCATGCTTATTGCAAAGAGCGTCATTTGCTTTCTTATCTTACCAAACCATGCTCACTTCACAATGCACTATGGTGCAAGGTAACCAGTAGTCTCGGAAGTTCAAATTCGATTCGTGTTAGGAACCCACATCGACAACTTATAAGGTACAAATCAATCCACACTAGCTCGCAAGAAAATTTTGGTATTCTCGAGAAGGCTAGCAAAAAGATGCTAATATCATGGACAAGTCTCAATATATAATGAGACCTATGGCAAAACAAAAAAAAATTAAAACCCTATTAATAAATTTTTTTTAAAAAAATTTTGGGCTTTTTTTCTTTAAAAAATTTATGAAACTAATGTTGGACCCTTGACATTTGCATACCTTGCCTAGGGATAGAGACGGGCCCTGTGGACAACATACGCATAATCAGGCTAATCCGTCCATCGCCATTGAGGAAATCGAAATTGATTAGGCGAAAATGCATATTACTTGTACCAACTAAGGTACACGAGGGTATTCTCAAAAGCTAGCTAATTGCTTTATCACCCACCCTATAAAGAATTGATAAGAAAAAAAAAAGAGAATGAATGATTCAAGATACGACACTATATCAAACTTTTCGTTCAACTAAGCAAAAAGATGTTTTGTTTCAAGCGAATATTAGATTTTGCACTAAAGAACATGATGAGTATTTGATCAAGACTGATTCTTTCCCCTAAACCATAATCCTATGGCTCTCAACTCAATAATACAGCCAAAAGATGCAACCATTGATTGATCGATAAAGAAATTTTATAATCTGTAAAAGACTTATCAGGTAGATACATTTACAACGACGGTGACAAGTGAAGAAAATATGTCGTCGATGCAGGGACCATTATAAGGCAGGACCTTCAAGATCTCGAGAAGGTCCAAAATAAAAAAGGTTTCACTCATCAGAAATGCACCAGCTGGTTTTGTCTAATATAGTAATATGTTATCATAGTATGAATGTAGTAATGTATTTGTCGAGAAGAGCGATAAAGGATTTGATCATAAAATCCGAGTGATCGACGAAAAATGATTGCGCAAGTAGCAAATATTTTGATCCTAGATAATGAATGTTTACATGAGCAAACTTGCTTTCAGTTTGACTTAGAGAAATAGAATTCTGAGATGCAAGATGTCGCCGACAAGTTGCATAGCAGCACCTATATCAGGAATGACATTGCACAAAATGTCATGGTCAGTCATGAAAGTTATGGACAAAAATCGCAATCTATACTAAAAGGAGATAATGCGGAAAGATATACAAATCCAATTAGTTGATTAAGAACTGGCAGTTCCGTGAAAGTAATAGCAATAATGGTTTCAAATGGTTTCAAACTAAGAATGATTAACGTAATAATGTAAGACTTCTTCAGAGGAAAGCATCTCAAAATCAAATTGCCGCAACGATAACTTTCATAATCTAAAGAAAGTCCATCAAATCTTTTTCTTCTTCTAGACAGCAAAAGAAAGCAACCAAATGATACAAATGGTTATAAAGAAACTGAGCAAGTTACGTGGCTATTAGACGTCATGGTATTGGCAACAATCAGAACCAAAAGCTAACAATGACAAAACAGAGAAAGGAAAAAGGCAAATAAGGCGACATTTCTAGCAAATCACTCATGGAGTCATTCAAATTAATGGATTAGTCAAAGAAGCAAAATGCAACAATAGCTTTCCTAGAGTATAGAACTAGATAAAGTACGGTAAGAAGCAAATCAGCATCGGTCGTTTATAAAGCAATTATATTTCCACTGACTTGTAAAGGAAAAAGAAAAGAAGTATGAAGCAAAAACACGGTTCTTGCAGATGAGAGTAGCACACAAAAGAGTTCAATCTTACATACGTTTTCTTCTCTCCTTTTTTCGTTGTCGTGCACGTAATTGATCATCTAAAGGCAGCAAGTAGCTTCTTCTGTATGATTTCCGCACTTAAACGTGGAGATAACCTCGGCAAAACTTCCTGCCATAAAGTAATAATTAGATATGAATCTTGACGGGTTTTGATTGAATTTAGGACAACGCACACCTCTTTGCCATCAGAATTTTCTTTAGCCAAGACCGGTATCTCATACTGATACGCTCTTTCCCACTTGGGATTCGTAGTGATATCCCTCACCTAACAATGCCCAACGAAATCACATTAATTCAACAAACTAACTCCAAATTTAAATTCTTTTCGAAAACCAATTGGCAACGAGTAGATTAGTCATGTCCGTTATATACCAAGTTAGAGATATCTACACAAGACAAGCCAACGAAATCATAATTAACAACGCGCCGCTACCATTTTATGGATTGTAGTGATTTCCATAATCCAATCAATTCTTTAGAAAGTAACTCTAATTTCAAATTCTGATTAATGTAATCATCAACTTAAATCCAATCCAGAATCACATAAATCCCACAAACTCACTCCCAATTTAAAATTCTTTTCGAAATCATCGTCAACGAGGCTCTGATACCATTTTAGAAATCGTAGCGATATACCTAACCTAACAATGCCCAACATAATCACATCAAAGCCATGAATTTCAACAAAGTAACTCCAATTTTTCAAATTTGTGTTCCACTTAATCCAACAAGAATCTTCAATTCCACTCAAAAATATATTCAAAAAACTTTGAATCAGAATTACGAGATTGGATTAGTGAGACCTGAAGAGTAACGTCGTTGAGTGAATCAGAACCAGAGGAGAGAGAGAAAGCAGCGTTAAGCTTCTCTTTAAGACCATCGCAGAGACAACAACCAGGTTTGGAGTAAAGAACAAGCTTCCTCGTGTTTGGTTTCGAAGAAGACGATGATAAACTACAGACCAAAGGACGTCGTCTTGCAGCGAACACCAAAGTCGCTGATATCGCTGCCGCCATTTGCGTTTTTCACCATTATTCTCGATTTTCCAATTTTCTTGATATTCTTAATAGACGTTTTGGGCCTTTAATTATTCAGCACATGATTCGGCCCATATTCTTAGATTTTATGATCCATAAATAATCAATTGATTCAACCCATACTCTTAAGGCTTAAGATCTTGAGAACTATATGTAAATATTTTGATGTATTCTAATACTATTTTTTTTCAAAATTTTAATTTAGTTTATAATAATATTTTTATAAAATATCCTTTATCATATAAATCACAAGTCACTGAACCAATAATACTGTGACATCTGTCAATTCAAAAATTATTTAAAAAATAAATATATCAAGTTTCTGTAAAAATGTGACGAAACAAAACAATTGTTATTTTTAAAAAATAAATCAAGTTTCTCCACGATCTCTACAATCTACCGTTACGAGCCATATTTATAGGAGCATGCTTTTCTTTTTTCCAGCATTTCTCAAACAAAAATAGAAAAATAGATTAATTTTTTACTAAAAAAAAACAAATTTATGTTCCATGATCTCCATTCTCCATGATTTCCTACGATTTTTATAAATACCTAATTAACACCTTCACAGCCATTTGTCAAATGCTTCATCAGTGTTGGATTGTGGTGCTACAAAAGAAGGTTTCCACTCGAAAAGTATGGTTAACCAAAATTAATTAATTAAAAGTTCAAAGTTCCAGAATTTATGTGCTAACAAAAAAATTAATTAATTCATATTTATTTTCTAATTTTTAATTAATTAATTTATTATTACTGGAGATGTTAAAATTAGATATTGAGAAAAAATTTTTTATATAAAAAGTAAATATTTATAACTTTTGCCCTACCGACATATGTTGCGTCACGTTTTAAACTTTCCCAAAATTCAATTAAAAGTTAACAATTACTATTCAAATTATTGGTGGAGTTCTAATCAAAGTAATAAAGGCCTTTACTAGGTAGTCTAAAAGAGAAAATGTGTAAGCCTAAATAAAAATGGGGTATGGAATTTTTGATTTGAATTGTTTTGGATTTAAAGAATGCAGATAGCATATGTACTTTTACTTTTTAATTTTGTATTTTTACTTTCTAATATAATATTTTGTATGATGAATTCATATAAGAATAAAATATGATATTTTGAATTAGTCAATTTATCGTAAAAACCTTATAAATTATAAATTAAATATAGTTAGAAATTAATAAAAGAAAATAATGTAAATAATTTGTATAAATACTGTATAAATACTAAATATCTACGTATTAGAATATTTTAAATATATATTTTACAAATAATTAAATATATTAATAGCAAATAATTATCGCTATTGTTTATTTAAATATTGCATATAAAAACGCTATGTTATCAAATATCTTAATAGCAGTTATAAAAACCGCTATGTAAAGTGTCGGACCTATTATAACGGGCGCAGACATAGCGCTTTCTACACTGCTGTAATATCGTTAGATAGCGATTTTCACATGCTATGGATACCCTCATTTCCTGTAGTGCTCAAGATGCCTACGCATAAAGATGTTCTACCTAAAGATGCCCCATCTTCTAATCCTACTCAGCCTTCTCCTCCACCACAATCTGAAGAAATATCTGACAATAGTGAAACTGAGAAGGAAAATGATAAAGAAGAATCACAAGATGGAGAAGAAGCAACATTAACTACTCAAGATCATGATGATAATCCTGACCAGAATGATGAACATTTTCAAGACTTCTCGGACAATTCTACTGATCAAGAAAGCAATGGGTCTGATGAATCTTATGACTCGGATGCAACTGATGATGTCCCGCATATGGATGTGAGGCTTGTATTCTCGGTAAACATTGTAAATCCGTGTTCCCCAAGTCTTGTACTATTTATGAAAATGCTTTGATTTTATTCATTCGGATGTGTGGACTTCACCTTGTGCATCTCGAGAAAGCTCTAAATACTTCGTCACATTCATTGATGAAAAATTAAAATTTACTTGGTTAACATTGCTCCCATCTAAAGATAGGGTTCTTGAAGCTTTTACAAATTTTCAAAACTATATGACTAACCATTATAATTCCAAGATTAAAATTTTGATATCAGATAGTGGTGGAGAGTAGCACCACATCGACGGTAGATCGAGACACTAACGGAAATGTTGATCAGTTGATGGGGTGGTGGTGGTCTCAACAGTGATGAACGATAACGCAATGACGGCTAGCTTTGTGTCGTTCTTTAGGGCTTGAGGTTTGATTCTTAATTACCCTTTTGTTAAAAACGAAGACGGCTATACATGTGCATATACATAAATACATACGATCATTTAAACACCACAAAACCCTTTTTGTTGTTTAGGAAGCTATTGAGATTTATTGGGCTTGTATCATTATGTCAAAACAAATTGACCCAATAATGTTGGACGGGGGTGTTACAATATTCTTTTATGCTCTTTGTATGTGTATAAGTAGAACATATGTAACACACTAAATCAAGTAAGAAATAAGACAATTCTCTTTCTCCACAATCTCTCAAAACTCGCAACTCTCTCTCTCTTTCACTCAAACTCAATTCTCTCTTGTTTACTCTCTTTCCGCACTCATTGTAGTCCCATTCTCGCAACCTTAAGCTCCATATTCTAACGGTTTGGGCATTTGTTCTATATTCTATTTTCTATTTAGTTGGAGACTTTACTAATTTTAGGTTTATTTTACAAATAGTCATGCTACTTAGGATATCATACCTAAATGAATAATTTTCATGTTATTTTTCCATACCTAAGTAAATAGGATATTTTTTTATGCTCTTTATATGTGTATAAGTAGAACATATGTAACACACTAAATCAAGTAAGAAATAAGACAATTCTCTTTCTCCACAATCTCTCAAAACTCGCAACTCTTTCTCTTACACTCAAACTCAATTCTCTCTTGTTTACTCTCTTTCCGCACTCTTTCTAGTCCCATTCTCGCAACCTTAAGCTCCATATTCTAATAGTTTGGGCATTTGTTCTATATTCCATTTTCTATTTAGTTGAAGACTTTTCTGATTTTAGGTTTATTTTACAAATAGTCATGCTACTTAGGATATCATACCTAAATGAATAATTTCATGTTATTTTTCTATATCTTTGAGAATAGTTATTGTATGATGGAGGCATCGATAATTTAGTTTACACTCGCTATTGTCTTGATCGTTCGCATATAGTTGTGTTTGAACCATGATGAAAACAAAAAAGAACCAATAAAACTGTACAACTTGAGATAAATACATGAAGAATAGTAAAAAACAAAAAAAAAAAAAACAAAAAGAATATTAATTCGTAAATATAAATTTCAGTAAACGAACCCAAAAAAACTAATACTATCATCATACATTTTTAAGTTTTTGTTAAAAGGTTAGATACAACACCACATGATTTTTATTTATTTACATACATATTAAAGTAAATAAACAGAAAAAAAATAATTAATTAACAAAATTTTCCAATACTTATTATTTAGAGAGGAAACCGTATATTCAAATTTGAAAAAAATTATTAATTAAATTCTTTTATTTATTAATGTGTTAATATATTTTTTTTTATTTGGTTTAAACCACATTTTTTTTTATTTTGCCAATAAAAAAAAGTTTACAACTTTAAATACCTCATAAACCCTAACTTAAAAAATCCCCAAATCGATTCATCGTTCCCAATGTCACTTTGGCACTCTCTCACATCTATTCAAATTCGATATTTTGATTTGCTTTCTTATACCAATTTCTTTTATTTCTTCTGAATCTTGCAACAATGTGGAAAGAGGAAGACTATCAACTGCTTGAAAAAAACTTTGGTTCCTTTTACCCGAAGAACAAGAGAAAAATTCTTTGACATAGTGTTAGGTGAGGCTTCAGAACCTGATGCGCAAGAAGAAAAATGTAACGCCCTGACCACCATCTCTCATAATGGGCCCACGTCCTCTCTCGGCCAGTGAGTCCACCATATTCCGATGGCTGGTCCGCTACGTATGGGAGGCTTGAAAGACTTGTTACCGACACTACATATCACCACATGATATTTTTCTGTGTTTTATCCTCATTCCCACAGTTCCGACAATCACTTCCCGGAAGATCACCCATTCTGAAATTGTTCCAGCTCAAGCATCCTTAACTGTGGAGTTCTCTCAGGACGTTTGATCGAAAAGATAAGTGCACTTTGGTGACATAGGTGGCCAAATCAATCCTTTTAAAAATCTCTGCATGCACCACCATATTCATGAAACCATGGTGTTACAATTCACCCCTACTAACATATCGCAACGTCCTCGTTGCGCACCAACACCGTAACCCCTCGTCAGGGTTCGGCTCTGATACCACTTGTAACGCCCCGACCGCTATCTCGTTTAATAGGCCCCATGTCCTCTCTCGACCCAAGGGCCCCATCTTCCGACGGCCGGTCCGCTACGTCTGGGAGGCTTTAAAGACTTGTTTACCGACCCTAAAAATCACCACATGATCTTTCCCTGTGTTTTGTCCTCACTCACATAGTTCCGACAATCACTTTCCGGAAGATCACCCATCCTGAAATGGCTCCAACTCAAGCACCCTTAACTGTGGAGTTCTCTCAGGACAGTTGACCGAAAAGATAAGTGTATTTTGGTGACATAGGTGGCCAGATCAATTCTCTTAAACCTCTCCGCATGCATCACCATATTCTTGAAATTGGAGTGTTACAAAAAATAACTTATGTATTTTTGACACGCAAGAAAAAAGAGAAATATGAATTTCCACACCATGGAGCTAAGGTATTCTTCTTTGGTCTTGACTTGTGAATACTTGTTTTATTGTTTTGTTTTCTTAATATTTCCTTACCTTCTTTTGAAGAGGAAGGTTTACGAAGAGAGAATCAATCATGAAACTACACCTCTGATTAGCTTTAAAGAAAAGCTTGCGAGAATGAAAAAATAATATTATGCCACCAAGATGGCTCTGCGTCTACTAGAGATGTCGGAGTTGGAGAAAAAACCTTTCTAAGAAAAAAATGTGTAAGTTGCATCACAAAATTAACATCTCAAAATCACAAAAAATGTACAATAAATAGTGATCTGAAACTACAATAACACA